GATAGATAGATAGATAGATAGATAGATAGAATAATACAATAAATAATAGAAAGATAGATATTTTAGATTTTTAGATAGAAAGATAGATAGATAGATATGATAGATAGATAGATAGATAGATAGATAGATAGATAGATAGATAGATAGATAGATGAGATCGTGTAAACGATATGAAATCAGAATTGATAAGATATAAATTATGATTTATAAAGATAGATAGAAAAGAAAAAAAGAAAGAAAGAAAAAAAAAAGATTCATAATTCCCAAGACTGATAGGCAACTATATGATATATAAATGAATAGACAGATACGAACAGATTGCAAGATAAATAGATAATAGATAATAGATAGGATATATATTAGATAGATTTTAAAACATATATAATTAATGATTAATCTATAAATAAACAAAAAATTAATATACAGACGGATATTTTGTAGATAAATATAGATAGATAGATAGATAGATAGATAGATAGATAAATAGATAAAATAGATAATGTGATGAAAATCCAAAGAAAAATCGATAAGATTTGAGATGAATAGAATTGGCAACAGAAGACAGGTAAGAATATTATAATAAACTAAAAAATATAAAGAAAAAAAAAAAAAAATAATGTTTAAAATTCCCCAAGACTACATTTTGGACAGACATATATATAGATGAATAGACAGATACATAAATCTTTTCTGTCATAAAAAATAATAGAGATATATAGATAGATAGATAGATATATAGATGTGTGTAACGAAGAAATTTGAAAATAAGAAACATTTGGATAAAAAATAATTAGGAATAAAACGTCTCTCCTATTCAGATAAATAAATAAAACTATCTATCAAGATCTTATTGAATAAGATAGATAGATAGATAGATGTGTTTATATTAAAATTCATATAAAATAGTATGTCTCGACGTATTCCGTTTTGATGTGATTATCGATTTTCTATTTTAGATTATCTTTTTAAGATTAAATCTAAAGAAGAAAAAATTGAAGAAAGAAAGAAATTACCCAGAGAATTCCTAAACCTTTTATTTAACTCGTCTATCTATATTTTGCCCAGAAATAAACAACTTATTTTCCTTAGAGATAGATATTAGATTTATAGGATATTTATATATATATATATATATATATATATATATATAAAATATATATTAAATAAATACAATAAATGGACAGGTTCACCAAAGAAACAAAGTCAAGAAGTTTAAAGATTTCCATTTTTAGATCATGAAATAGAAAGATAAGTTTTTGAATACATGAACAAAAGAAAAGAAAAAACTGCATGTCATTTTTCAAATGAACATTTGTGGAATTTCATTCGTTTTTATTGAAACTGTTTTTTTTAAATTCATACAATTTATTAAAGAAAACAAATGTGTTGATAAAATAAACGAACAGAATTATTTTTATTTTTTTAATTAGATAAAGAATGAAAAAATATGATAGATGAACAGACTTATAAAATGAACAATGATTAACAAGATTAAGATAGATGTTATAGATATGAAAATTAAAATAATTAATGTTAAATAGATAAATAGATAAATAATTATAATGTTAAGTGAAAAAAAAAGTTTCAAATTGATAGATATACAGATTTAAATCTGAAAATTTAAATAAAACAAATGAAGAAGATAGATGCAAACAATAGATAGATAAAATTTTTGAAATTAAATTTCATTTGAGATAATATTGGAGTGAGAAAATTTTTTCTTATAGACTTCGAATATATAAATAAATCCAAATATTGTATAAAAAAAGAAAAATTCTTTAAAGAAATTATGTCCATAATTCCCAGGCTGATAAAACTGATTTCCATATATATGCCTAATCGAATTTTTCCTGAATTCTCCATTTTTTATTGATTGCAAGATAATTAAACATATCTAGAGAGAACAGATCTATAGATAAATAGAATAATATATAGATTAGATAACAAACCTGAATGGAAATTTATTTTTTATTTCTCCTGAAAAAATCAATCTTTCGTCAATTTATATCCCACAATCTAATTTTGAAATTCAGAAACTCATTATCTGGTAAAATACCATTCCTTCTGATTCTATTTCTGGGTTGGAATTAATCTCTTTGTCATCTGAATTTCAAAAAACCCTGGAATTTAATTCCTAAAAAAACAAAAACTTTAAAATTTGTTTAAATATTTTCCTTTTGATGATTATTGATTTCCATTTATATTAAAAAATGCAACATGGAAATAAAAGATGTTTTTAGTTTTTCCTAAAAGTCAAGAAATATCTGGATTTTCGTTTTAAATTTTAATTTTAAGTGAGAGATATTGCTGTATGATCCGAATTTTTAAATCAATTAATAACGACGAAAAAGGTATATTATATTATTTATATATATATATATATATATATATATATATATATATAGAGAGAGATTAGAGAGAGATTCATTAAGAAATGCAAAGTAAAATAGATAGCTTAAACAATCTGAGATAGATAGATAGATAGATGATAGATAGATAG